CCTGAGCAATTTGAGAGGGAAAAAAAGCGTACACAGTCCGAGTATAAGCATGCACAGATCGCAAACATGTTGAATGTTCTTTTGACACCACTGCTAGGCAAACTTCGGCTGACATGCAACCATTCTGAATCTGTTATGAATGCTGGCTCCAGATCTTCTTACACATGCATAAGGATGTGTTTCCACAGGTGCCTACTGCTCGCGTAGTAATGACACTCTGAGAGCTCAAAGACAGAGATCAGCACTCCGGTTAAGCTGATGCGCAGTCGTAATGGAACATCAGGGTGTCCTCGTTGAGATCGTGAAATGTTTATGAGAGAAAGGAGCCAAAAGCCCATTTCCTGCTTCCTTTCTTTCTCGACTATCTTCTTTTTTGTACGTATTAAAGTATACTTTGCTTAGAAAAACAGCTCAGAAGTCTCTCGTCAAACGACTACCGCGTATACGGGCACATTTATTTCAGAAAACATTCATTGAGAATAAACAGTGGACTCAGCGACGAGCTGTAATGCCTCAAAAGCTGCGCACGCGCACACACACACACACACACACACACACACACACACACACACACACACACACACACACACACACACACACCACACACACACACACCACCACACACACATATATATATATATATATATATATATATATATATATATATGAGATCTAACAGACAATAATGCCAAGGAATGTATGGGGGAAGGTATTAGAGCCAATGTAATGTAAATAAGAAGACAGAAAAGTGGGTGAAAAAATAACTTGCCGTGAGCAGGAATCGAACCGGCGACCTTCGAGTAACGCGTGCGAGCATCAAATCGCATTGGTCTCAAAATGGAACAGCTTGCTGTTTAACCGGCATGGTAATGAATATTTACGCCCACGTCAGAGTTACGCCACACTTCTGAGTTTTACTTTGTAGGTAAAAGCAAAACGAAAATGATGCATTTTTCGCGGAAGCACTTAATGGCATAATACACGTAGAGCTACCCAGCTTAGGGACAAAAAAAAAAAGAAAGGTTGATTTGTCAGCTGCAGTGATTAGCGTTCAATTTAAAAGACTGAGGAGGAAACTAAAAGGCGGGAAGGTTAACCGGAAAAGTGTGCGGTTAACCACCCTAAGCGGTAGGAGGAGGGAGATAATGGGCAATGAGCATAAACAGGCGATAGACTGGGTGACGCAATGTCACAGAATGTATCCACACGGTGGAAGAAGTTTGGACGACAGATTCTTCCATGCCCGCTAAAAGAAGAAACAACCAGCAACTTTTCGAGAAGGGAATTGCTGTTGGTACCGAAATCGCCAAGTTTTCAGAGCAAGAGGCCCAGGATAGGCGGACGATGGACGTAAGCTTCGACGGGCTGAGTTACCCGTCCATTTTCACTATAAATTAACTGAGTACTTTGGAGAAAACCCAAGAAGTTTTGATAAGGCATAAAGATATACAGGTGAGGCTATCCACCAAGTTTTTCGCAAAGGTAACCGTTCAACACACTGTACCAAGCAATACGAAACAATTATTGTTCGCCTATCAAGAGAGTATAACAAGAGGGGACAAAAACCAAAAACAAAAGGAAGAACTAGGCAACAGACTCCGTCGTCTAGTTCTTCAGATCCTCAGTTCAGACGTTCGCTTAGTATTACCATGCACCAGTTTACCGAACAAGCCACTTTTTTGCCAGTTTGTTTAGGAAACTTTTGGAGATATTTCAGTATAGATAGCTTCACAATGAGGGAAAAATATTTTGCGCGTCAGAATGAGCAAGCAAGAGGTCTATACAAACTTACGTTGCCCTAAGAAAACGTATTCGTGTCCTTGCGTGGGAGTGAGCAGCCGAGTCTTCTCTTCAGAACAAAACAAAAGTGTGCACTGTTGCCGACAAAATCATAGAACACGGTATACCAGACGAGCAGATGCAATGTCCGTTGCTATCGAGCATGTCTTTCGTCTTTTTACACGTCAAAAATTTCCGTTGCGGTAGCACTTGTTTAAAGTTGCGTAAGTACGAGCCATTACCTACTAAATCGCCCTTTATGAAGACCTGAGTGCACTTTTTTTTACACACCACTCGATCGCACCAGCGAAAGTGTTGCATCTCATATCCAGTCGGCGCATGCATGTAAGAGAATAACGCAATATAATGAACTATTGTGCATCATGAGTGAAGCTTGCGTGCCAGAAATAGATCAGGCAGACTTTGTTGCTACGCAAAAACCGGAACCGCGTCTGGGGCCGGAAGTAATCCAGGCCCCTAGAGAGTCATAGTCTGTTGACGCAGCGGAAAGGCGCACATATTTACAAAGCGGAAGAGTGACGACACTTAACACTACAAGGAAATCAATTGATACTTCCGCAACCAGTCAAGTTTCAAGCGATGCGATTAACAAAGTAACGTGATCATCGCTTAATTGTAATCTTAATAACTATAAAGAAGACTGCTGTGGTTCTAACTTGCCCGCATTGATGAAATCACTAACGTTTTTATCGGCTAAACATGACATTGCCACTACACCTTTAATATGACCCACAGACGTTCCATTTTTTAATAAGCGATCGGAGCTTAGAACATTTCACGAGCAGTACAGGATTTGGTGAGCACAAATGGATCACGAAATGGTGCGGATGCATTCGATTTCTTCGTTCATCGGTGGTGCTCCAGTTTTTCCAATGTTTTGCCGCCGCTAAATCGTTGTAAAACCCTAACACCGGGAATCCTACACGAATCACAAAATAAATTTCTCCAAATACACTTACACATGCTCAAGACAATGCGTAAAACGAAGTCAGTTTATCTTTTAATACCACTGAATTAAACAACCGAGCAACTTAAGTCATCGTCAATGCACAAAACGTTTTCAACTCTACGTCTAATGGTTCAGAGGAGGACATCAACATGACAGGTGAAAACTGACGGGCTTTGAGTTCTAATACGGGAACGTTTCATCTCCGAAGGCTGTTGACGAGAACGGACAGATTGGGGTATTTCCTTGCCCAATACATTTACCGACACCCATTATTACGGCGAAGACAGCCAATCTGGACACAACGTTGTGGAAACCTGGCTGTATAGTGTGTCTTCAAACACTCGTACGGGCAGCAGGTTCCCATCATATATGTTGACTGATTGAGCTCCTGATTGCGATGGATTGGGACCCACCATGTGTACGCGCCTGCGTCCGACCAATGAACTCCTCTCAAGTTTGTCAGTGCATCGCACTGCCCTTCCACGGGGACGAAATGAGGATGGTGTGCTCACAGTCAACATTGCATAGCGATCCTGTCCTCTTCTTCTCCTCTTCCTTTCTTTTTCTCGCAAAGCAAGTGATATAAAAACGACAACAATGTCACAAGTGTTAAAGCCTTCTTGCAGACAAAATTCGACGTCGTCACTAACTGCACGCTTGTAATTTGTATATGGGCTACACACTGGCATGTGCTTTAGCGCGTAGGACTTCCAAGTGATTATTATATCTTGATTGTTGAACACCTGAGCACAGTTCGCATTCGAATCGACATAGGGCGAAAAAAGAAACAAAAAAAAACGAAATATTTCTACCTGGAAAGAGCTTGAATCGGCGCAAGAAAACAGTGCAGATAACTGTCGAATGCATAAGTTAAGCACGCAGTTAGTGCACAGCTCTCTTTCGCACAGGAGCACCGCAGTGATGATCAACAGAACCACCGTGCCTGGAGCCAGTTGAGTCATAAGAGCTGGCGAGTATTTTAGAAGGTTCCGTATTCAGAAAACAGGCCGTAGGCTGAGCGCTTCGCAAGACAAAAAAAAAAGGGGGGGGGGGGATTCAGCCAATCATAATGCTTGAGGCGTCGTTAGTGGACTCGGCCTGCTAATAGCAAGACGGGCTTACGGAAGAAGAGCTCCGAGAATTCTCCTGCCGTTGGATTTATATGTGCCTCGCCTTCTCAATGTCTGCAATGAAAAGCTAATGACGTAAGTTTGCGATAAATGTACGATTTCAATAGCTGAGTGTGTTTTCATTATGTTAATCTTGCATTATACATTAAAGTAGTTTGGGTATAAGGCATGTTCACCAGAAAAATAATGATGAGCTGGAAGCTTAGAAATTGCCACTTTCGTCACGTTTGTTGGGGGGCCTCATAAAAACTAGGGCGCCAACTCGTTCAAACGCAAGTGTCGATTGCGCGTCATGCCACGCACTTAGTGATAGTGTTTAAACTTGACTTTTGCTTCAGGTGACAGCCGGTTCTCATTTAGGATGAAAGTGAATATATAGAAAACATGAACACCGATAATGTATTGCAAGTTGAAGTACCGCGTGCCCAAGGCGATTTGTACGTCGTGCGGGTGAGTTTTTCTATGCGTTATACAAGATGGCCGTTTCATATATGACTGCATTGGTATCATTCGATGTCGTTGAGTGGCTTCTGGGAAATGACAATAATATTTGCAGAGAATAAGTTCCACCTGTTGTCAAAAGCGTGTCACAAACTATGCTATAAGTGCTCTCGTTTTCCTGTAGGACTCCTGACAATCTTAACTAGAAAGGGAGTTGCGCTACAAACTGAGAACACGAACAGAAAAAACACACACACACACACACAGAAGACTAAATAAATGATCAAGTTTCATGTAACCACAGTTACCCATTGCTCCCGGCAGCACAAAAACTTCATGATGGCTAACAAATTTCAAGCCAGGCATGACAATGTTTTTTTTTTTTTTCTGTCCAGATCTAGTGCGGGTGTTTTGATAGACTCAAGGCGAGGATGTTGTCGGCTCAAGCAAATGGGCGCCGAGTAGCTGTTACGAGTGACTCGCCGTCTCCAGGTGTTCCTTAGTGCCCACGGAGTTGTGGTGGACAGGCGAGGGTGCGCGCGGCCACCAGACGCGCGCGCGGTGGGCGGGCACCTGTTGTGGGCGCGCGCGAGCACGTGTTGGAGCGGCCCGGCAGGCAGCCGGGCTGTGCGCCTCGGCTGCGTGCTGCGCGCGTCTCTCGAGACCGAGAACGGACTCACCTTTCGGCAGAGCCAGCTGGGCATCGGCGTGCGGCAGACTGGGCGTCCCGAGTGCGGGCAGCGGCGATGTCTTGGCGTCGTGTGCCGACGAGGCCCTCGGCGAGGCGGCCAGGCCGGGCGACGACGTCGTGCGTCCCGGACACGACAAGTTCAGTGGCTGGTCGCTGTTCCGGGTGTCGTCGCGTATTCCCAGGATGTGCGCGATCGAGTGCGGCGTGGGGCTCTTGGGCGGCTGGGCGTACACGTGCGGGTGCCAGCTGTGCAGCGGGTAGGAGGAGGCCGCCGCACCGCTCTCCATGCTGCTGTGCCGCCTGCGGCCCGCGCGCTGCGGCTCTCTCTGGCTGCGGCGACGGACGGCGGCACGCGCGGGGCGGGTCGCGCATGCGCGGTCCCCTCTCTCTCCTCCCCTCCTTCTTCCTGCAATGATGGTGGATAATGGAGAACTGGCCGCACGCCGGCGCCAGTTAGGAAGCGACAAAGTGCTTGGTCGGGATTTGCTGCTCCCTGTATTCCGTCGATAAAGCGAGCCCCCCCGCGCGCGCGGCCGCCGCCGAGGAAACGCGCGGGAATCGAGCCGCAGTAATTAGCTCGCTGCGGGAAGCGCTCTCGCCAGGTTCACTGCGCGCCCGATAAGCCGGCCGCGACGCGTCCTTCATCCGCGCGGCCATTAGGCGCGCTCCTGCCCAATTGGCGGCAGCAGCAAAACGGCTCGTAATGAATGTTGCCTCCTTGGCCGCCGCGATCAGGCACAAGCCACGCGTCGGCGAACAAATTGATTGCGCACCTGCTGGTCTCTGCCGCTATCAAGGGTGTCGCCGTCAACGCCGCGTGCATTCCGGGTTTGCAGTAGTTGGTCGCTTGCCCGCAATACACGTGATTTTGTCTGTGAAGCGTAACTTCAACGCGCATGGGTTTCGGATGCCCAAAGTTGAAACTGCGTTTTCGTTTCTCTCGTTTAATAGTACTTTTCTCTAAAGCAGTTTGCTTGATATTGATTTTATTGTTATCTGGGGTTTAATGTCCCAAAGCCACCATATGATTATGAGAGACGCCATACTGAAGGGCTGCGGAAATTGGGACCACCTGAAGTTCTTTACCGTGCTCCCAAATCCGAGCACATGGGCCTACAACATTTCGCCTCCTTTCTGAGGCAGTTCATCGAAGATACTAATGGTATTTTCTTACTTAGACAATGTGTCACATATGCTTAGTGTATCTTCGATAACAGTGAAAAAAGAAATAATACTCGGGACTAGCTGTATCTGTCTGCTCCTTCCGTTACACCATCGGTGTCGTTACCGTAACATGTATGTCAGGCCACCGGTGGATACTCTTTATTGTCTCCGCAACACCGTAAAAAAACAAAAAAAAAACGCCAGGCCAGAACGGAACGCGCAGCACAGTCACAGCGAAAGCTAGAAGAGAGGCATTTCAGAGCATTTTCTAAACACTCTTTGGGATGCTACAAGCACACTGCTGGGTACCCATTGCGTCATAAGAATCATAAATTTTGTTTAGTAGGCCAGCATTCAATATGCTATCCTTCGTCATTCTTCGGACAAGCGTAGTCTATACACTTGGAAATTTTGAGCAATTTCTTTATGCAGTGGCTGATGACGATGAAGAGACATGCGGGAAGTTGGTATGTGCCACAGTTAATAGGTGATCAAGAACAAGTTTTTTTAATGGGTTGAAACATTGGACGAGTTAGTCGTTGTGTGACAATTCGCATTGTGTGACACCTGGCTGTTCCTTTGATGTTCTGAAACGCTTTATTACTCATGGTAACACGATTCCTTTTCCGGCATCAAGCCTGCCTAAGGCCAGTTTAGAAACTTCTTCCAAGCACTGGCGTCGCACAGTGGTAGAAATACTGGGCTAGCACGCAGTAGACCGGGTTCGAATCCCATTGTGTCATCGGTGTTTTTTATTTACCGTATGTTTTTCGTTCGACACCGGTTCCGGACACCGGCGGTGGCGGCGGCAGAAACCTACGGCACCGCGCATGAGCCATGTTCTGATCTCATAACAGCTTTCGCTGTGAAAAATCACCTCCACATTCACGAAGTGAATAGTGTTAGAGGAGCTTGTTCGGAGGTGTACCAGGCGATTCTTGGCGAAACCAGTTATGTAGGGAGGTTTGTTAACGAGCTGGCGCATGAAGTGTACAGTACATAGAAGGCAGCGTTGTCAGGCACGTTCCTTGGCCGACACTGCACAGTGTTAGCCACATCGATCAGCACGTTAGAACCGGCTCCGCATACACCCCGGCCTGGTCATTCAAGACTGGGAGATACGCTTCCCCGTTCTGTGCCTTGTGCGGTGACATCGGGGATATTGAACATTTCATTTGGCTTTGGCCACAGTTTGATGTGCAAAGAGCAGCGATGATTCGCACCTTGCAAGAAGGCTGTCATAGGCACCGGACAGTTGATGACGTCATTTTTTTCTGAAGGACCCGCGGCAACTAGGAGGAACGTGCAACAAATTTTGTTGGTCTTCCTGCGAGACACTGGGCTGTCTGACACGCGGTGACAATTTCCAAATTCAGAAGATGCTCAGGCGGAACAATTGCCGGCCGTGCAGGCCAGGCAAACCCGCCTGCTGCAACACCACCACCACTACCTTGACCACCTGCCCTTTTATGCCATATTGGATGCTGCCGTGAATCAAATGCCTAACGCTCATAAATGGCAGGCGTGAAGCGATCAGGCTTTCTTCAACGGGTTTGAGAGCAGGCAGGCGAGGGGGCTTAGGGGAAATCGGCACCCGTGCGTAGCACTGATCGTAGGAACTTGTCACGGGCTGCCGTTCCTACGAAGAGGTGAGAACGAAGTGGGCAAAGTCGCGAGGCGGCGAGCACGCGGGCCATCGAAAACAGACGTCTTGTAGGAAAACTTAATGTGCGCGCTGCTCGCTCCCCAACGTCAAGGGAGGTGGCTCGCCATCTAGTGAGCATTGCTGGAATCACCGCCTTGAGCGGCGACCGGAGAAGTGTACACCGGCAACACTGGCGTTCACGTCGGCTGCCTACTCCTCTTTTCTATACCTTTACTTCTACCCTTTTTATCCCTCCTCACCCCCATCCCTTGAGAGCCCTGTGGCGGTGTCGCTCACTGAAGCAGACAATAACGGGGCTCACTTTGCTCTTCCTTTCTCTTTCTCAAGAACCACTACGCCTACGCCGCCGGACGAGGCGCCGGCATTAGAAGCTTGCCGACCCAGCTCCTAAAATGCTTTGATAGGCACTACTATTCTGCCCCGCCGCGGTGGTCTAGTGGCGAAGGTACTCGGCTGCTGACCCGCAGGTCGCGGGTTCGATTCCCGGCTGCGGCGGCTGCATTTCCGATGGAGGCGGAAATGTTGTAGGCCCGTGTACTCAGATCTGGGCGCACGTTAAAGAACCCCAGGTGGTCAAAATTTCCGGAGCCCTCCACTACGGCGTCTCTTATAATCAAATGGTGGTTTTGGGACGTTAAAACCCACAAATCAATCAATCAATCAATCAATCAATCAATCAATCAGGCACTACTATACTGTTCACTCCTCTGTGCCAATGCAAGCCGTACGCGTCAACCACTCCACTATGGTATGATTGATAGTTCGCAAACTGTGCACGCAGTGGCATGGTGACGAAAATTATTTGTACATGTGTTTCGGATTGTGGATCAAACAGTACTCTATATACACCAGACGAAAGCGTCGTGTTGTGGAATGGAGAGAAAGTACTTTTCAGAGGCCAAATTCACGATACTTTTCGTTCGTCGCTGCTTTTTGACATTGCTTCTCTGCCTTCTCTAATACGTTCAGCATTATGTATGGCTGGGATTTGCTTTTACGAATAGCTCTGGCATGAAAAAGTTTCCTGGATACCAGCCAGCAGGGTTATCCACGGTTTTTTTCTGGTCCCGTTTGATTCTGTCTGCGCAGCTATATGTTCCTTGAATTTGCGTCAGGACAACTATACATTTAATGACGTCGACCTTCAATCTCATTTAGTGTGGTGCGTGAAGTGTCTTGTGTCGCAATATTTTTCTCCCGACATTTGTTTTCGTACATAGAATACCCATATTCTCATTTATAAAGTGACACTCAAGGGAATAAATAAGTACAGGCGCCGGTTGATCGTGATAGTAGTCTGATTGTTTTTTTTATTCTTTCTTTTTTTGTGATGGTGGGGCTGGCTAACGGCGATGAATTATAAACACACAGTTCGTTAAATAATATGACTTCAGACGCCGCTTCGAAGAGTTCGGCCTAATGCTAGTCAAGCTATGACGAAATACTTTCTCTGTTATTTCATTTTCTTATTGATAGAGTATCGCAAGTTGCTTTACACACGCCTTCTAATGTACTGAAATGTATATGCTGCAAACAACTCGCCGCCGTACTTTGAGTGAGCTGTGGGGTTCGGTTCCCATCGGCAGCGATTTGGTTTTCCGACCACTATAATTCATGTACTCTTTATCTCCCGATTTCTGCACTTGTATAAAAAATTACAAATAACGCCTCCTATGCTTTTCCTGGCTGCATTGCCGGTTGGCATCAGGTGACTATTGTTGACGCTTGTTTCGTTGGCTAGTTAGTCTTGATGGATATTGCAACGAAACACAGTGCCAGATTCCAATAGAAGTAAGGTGACATACAGCACATATATGTACAGCTTTCGATCCTCATTTTTTTTTATTGAAGTAGAAAATAAACGAAGAGTTTTTGTCACCGTTACTTGGCGACGGCTACGCCTTTCCACTTGATTGTTACAAATAAAAAAAGAAAAAAAATAGCCTATATACATATACACAGTCCTACATGGGTGAGAGCAAAAGTTCTCCTATGGTCAGAACAAACACGTAGTCGCGACGCTCACTTTTAACTTTTGTCCGCTCAGTAGTGGTCACAAATCTTCGTATCTTCGAAGAAGTGTTGCAGCACCTTCATTGCTTCTTGTTTGCTCGCGCTATGTTCAGTGTGCTTCATATGGCTACACCTAACAACAACAAAAAAATCACCATGTGGCTTTTAAAGCTAAAACTAACGAGATTACGCAAGTGATCACCCTTAAGTAAAATTCACGCACCCATTTACATTGTTTCTTACAGCGGTGTGCCCTCAATAACGTCATGTAGTCTGGCGTATCATACATGTATAGACTCGAAAAGACGCACAGAACAACTCTACGTCATCAGGTGCTACAAACTATACATGTAGTGCTCACACGGAGGTCATTGTACCGATCCCCACTGTATAGCTATATGTAGAAAATACATGGTGGGTACTAATACTTACTTATCCTTGCCA